AAAAAAATACTACAACCCTCTGCTTGAGCCCTGTTGCATGGTGTCTTTCTCTCATGCACTGCTTTTCTTAAATTATATAACCTGTCTCTAAGAGGTAGAGGAATATGATTAGGTTTCAAATGTAGCTCATCCCAGTTGGTTTCTTACCCAGAGATACCTTTGAAGGCAATGTGCCAGATTAGGTGCTGTCCTGACATGCAGAAACGGGTCCTCTTCACCCCTTGATAACCCAGGGCGTGCTCTGGTTATTATCTCAGAGCAGGCTTAGGCAGGCAACAACTTGTCCCAACTTGCAGTCCCTCCTTGTGACAGACAGACAGCTCCTAACTCAAAAGGCAGTGTTTTCCTCATTAGGTCTGTCAGTCCCAGGAGTGTGACCAACCTCATACCTTTATCTGTCTCTACATTATCAGCCTTCTATGAGTCAACTTTATGTGTCTATCTTAATTAGGTTTAGGGTTTTGCTTGCTGTGATAAAAAAAAAAAAAACTCCATAACCAAAAGTAACCTGGGAAGGAAAGGGTTTATTTCAGCTTGCACATCAGGTAATATTCCATCACTGAGGGAAGTTAGCAGGGCAAGAATCTGGAGGCAGAAGCCATAGTGGAGTGCTGCTTACTGGCTTGCTCCCCATGGTTTTCTCAGCCAGCTTTCTTAAACACCCCAGGGGTTCTATATCACTCCAACAGTGTGCTGGGCTCTCCCACATAATCATTAATCAAGAAAATTCTCACATGCCCCACAGACTCCCCTTCAGGGCATTTTTTTTTTTTTTCTTTCCAAGACAGGGTTTTTCTGTGTAGTCCTGCTGTCTTGAAACTCATTCTGTAGACCAGGCTGGCCTGGAACTTAGAAATCTGCTTGTCGCTGCTTCCTGAGTGCTGGCAGTAAAGGTGTGTGCCATCACCACCTGCCTCGGACAGGGCAGTCTTACGGCAAGTTGGCAAAAACCAATCAACCATTCATTCATTGAACTGGTCAAGTGATGTTTGGAAGTAAAATGCTAAGACAATGCCATCACAGGCCTGTTGGAACTTCTGCTGGGGTTGTGTCAGCCATTTGCACAGCATGGCCTGCTGGCAGGGAGCTGTGGACTTTCCCTTCCTGCCTTTGGGAGCAACTTGTCCATCAACATCCAGAATCACTTTGTCTGATGGTAGGAGGTTTACCCAGGAACCCTCAAAGGTAACCTCCTGGGTGCACAGATGACTATTTGTCCCATCCTTGAAGCCCTTCTTGCCTCCCTGTGTCCATCCTCAGATCCACTAAAGGACCGGAAGGCATCTTCCACTATCCAAGTCAGTTTTCTTATCCTTGCCATCACAGACACAGAAAACTTCTATACTCAGCCCCATGAAACACACTACATAGCAAGACTAGGTGAGCCCCAGCATTCTGGGGATGACGCCATTTTACCGAAAAGCAGACAAGGTCAGGATTTGATGTCACTCATCATCACAGCCTCCTGGGCGGATTCTATCATTCCTCTTCCTTTTTACTCTCTGCGTCACTAGCAGCATCAGGAAGTCGATAGGAAAAGATGAAACAGCTGCTAGAATGAAAACAAAAACAAAAACAAAACAGCAAAATGATTCAAGACTGGAAAGGACATGGTCACTGTCCCCTGTGTGTTTGGCTCTTCCAAAGAGTTATGAAGACACAGTGGGTTATTACAAAATTGAAGGGATCTCTTTTTCTTTCTTTTTCTTTCTCTTTCTTTCTTTGTTTCTTTCTTCCCCTCCCTCCCTCCTTTCTTTCTTTCCTTCCTTCCTTTTTTTAAAAAAAAAATGCTTTCTATGCTTTTTGTAAAACCTAGGAAGAACCACAAAGTAGTCTTTTCAAGTCCCAAAAATGATTTACAAAAAGAACCTACAGCTAACATGGTCCTGGGAGATCAGCTGTCACCCTGGGCCTTGCTCCTTTTTTCTCTCTGAACATAGACTTACCTGAAGGTAGTTCATATTAAAACCTCTTCAGAGTTTTTTGTGCACTATCCTATTTTAACTTGGTCTTACTTTGGTGGTTCCCAACATTTTGGTCAGTTTAGGTCTGCCAGTCATGACAAAATAAGTGCCTGAACCTAGACCAAATGTAGAGACCCAGTGATGTAGGGATTACTTGTGGGCTGTGTGTGATATCTAGGGCTCTTGCAGCAAAGAGACAACAAGAACTTGTTCTTGCTACTCTGGAAGCTAGGAGTCCAAGAGGAGGGCATTGGTGGCCAAGCACATGGTGATAGCTGGCAGTCCTTGGTACTCTCTGGCTTGCAGGCACATCACATCCTCCCTTGTCCTGCAACCTTCTCTCCCCTTACCTCTGTTCTCTTACAAACATATCAGTCATTGATTAGGACCACCCTAGTTAGGATGATACCATCTGAACTTGATTGTCTGCAAACATCTTATCTCCAGTTAGGGTTACATTCCCAGGTGCCAAGAGCTAGAGCTTCAACCGTGAATTCCAAGAATGCAAGCTCAGCCCACAGTGGGGTCCAGGAGTACTTACTGAATCTCCTTGTTCTGTTAATGGAGTGACAGCAGGTCCTCTGTGTTTTAGTAGTGTCAGGTTCCTGTTGTGTCCTGTGTGTCCTATGGACTGTTGCTCCTCCAGGGTACACAGGTTGTGGGAGTTCACTGGAAAGTTCCTCACCCTCCAGGCATCAGCATGGCCCAGGGAGGTAGGTGTCTTTGGGGTTTTCAGCTCACTGTGGCCCCTGAGAGTTCTCTGTTCCAAACCTGTGTTTGAAAGCTGTGGATGCTGATATCCTGTCTCAACTCCTACAGCTCTGATAAGGTACATTCGACCTGTGTTCGTGTCCCGGTCTGACCAAGACTCTCGAAGGAAAACAGTGGAGGAGATCAAGCGACGGGCACAGTCGGATGGAAAGTGGCCTCAGGTAGAACAATCCTGCTTGCTTTTAGGGGCTCTCCCAAAAGGTGTACACTTGGAGAATGGGAGAAAAAGCGGAAACCATAGAGCCTTCCATGTCCATATCTGATGCCAAAGTTCTGTTTGTCTTTGGGGAGTGTGTGCATCTAAGAGTATGCTTGGTGTTGGGTGCTTTGGGTTTCAGTATCTGGGCTTAAATGAAAACAGATTCTCTCAAATGTCCACTTGTATCATTGTGTGGGGTAGTGTCTTGCTGATTGCCCTGGGTATGATCTACTTTGTGGATTAGCCATAAGCCTGAGGAATTCAACACTTGTAGATCCTGGGCTGAGCCTCTTGTCCTGTTGTCTAGTTCCTACCTCTGCATCCATAAGGCCTGCCTTTGTCCAGCCCCCAGCCCCC